CTACTGGCATAGGTGGTGTCAAAAATAGTACTTCTCTAAAAAGATAATTTCTCATTCCCACATTGATAAACMCTATCCACATGTACACAGCTGTTACTTTTTTTTTGTCTGGTTCGTCAAGTTCTGATAAGTGAGATTTGAATACCCATCTGATTAAAATTGTCTGCAATTCTGATTTTCTTAGCCATAAAAAGAATTTTACTCCAATTATCCTTAGTAYTGAAAATGAAAGATTACCCTTTCCATTTTTGTTTTTGTGGAAAAAAAGCTCTTAGCTGCAGTAATTCATACTAATGATATTTTCTATTTAACTTGGAAGAAGGAGAGCAAATAGTACTTTCAAAAGTATTCTTTTGATGCATTTTTTCTGCTTAAAACATGAAGAAACAGGCATCATGCCTGTTTATGCTCTGGACTCCKGATATGTTGACAATATCCCTCTATTTTTGAAGTTTTTTAGAAGAATGATAAAGATTAATGTACTGAGATTAGGAAAAAGGAAGGGATATTTATGTTTTTCGTAAATTTCACATGCTGTGCTCAGATAGATTCTGAGGCTGGAAAGTTGTATGTTTTCAGTTCTTTTAAAGCAGTAAGTTTTGGGTTTGTTTGATTCCTATTGTGACTCTCCAAATCAACTGAAGTTTCCAACCTCTAGAGTTTTTCAGGCTTTGTTGCTTTTGTTACATCTACAATTAAGATGAAAAACAGTGACGGCATTTACTATAGGTACTCCCTCTTAAAGTGAGATGAGTAAATAATGTGGCAGAGAACATGAGATAAGTAAATAACAGTGATGATAACAGAGCTCCTACTTACACATACTGTGTTGGAACCTGATCAGGATTTCCTCACTCTTCTTCTTTGAAGAAATCTTGCTTCCGGGTTGGAATAACAATCTTGGTGGGTTTTTTTGGTGGTTTTCTGAAACTGACTACAAGCCTAGTTGGCATTTTTTTCTTCCCTTTTCTCTCTCCTATTAGAAATGGTGAGATTTTTAGAACCAAATRTTTAAGCTGAGGCTCATAAATTCGTACCTAATTCTCAAAACATCAGTTTTTAAGGGTTTAGTATCTAATTGCCTGACTGCTGGCTTTTAATTTGAAAAAGTACCTTGTTAGAATTCTTAATGATGGAAGTTGTTACTGAGAATTATAGAAAAATAATGCTAAGGGAATTTGAGCATTAAATATTGGTTCATGATTATGTTTTCTATTTTATTGATAGCTGTTATAATTTACTGCAGCTAATTTGTAAGCCTTCTTCCTGGCATAGTAATTTGTGATTTCTTTCATGTGATTTCTCCTAATGAAGAGGGATGGGCAGGAGGAAAACTGCACTTACTTATTTTGAAGATGTTTAGGGTAATAGCGATAACATTTCAGTTTCATACCTCAGAAAAGGAAAAATGAGATTGCAACCATCTGCTGTTCAGACTGTGTTCTCAGTGGCTTACTCACAACTCTACAGTACCTGCAGCCTCACTAAAGAARGGACTGATGAACAATGGATTCCTTGCTGATTGTTCAAGGTTCGAATCTTACCATGGTGCAGGGAACCCTGAAGCTTCCTAACATTATGAAAGGAATTTTGCATATTCAGGAAAAGAATACTGTAGCCAGAATACTTTATTTTAGAAATAAAATGAGACATTTCTGATAATTTTCAAGTATTCTTTTTCTCAGTTGAAGGTTTTATTTCTTTAATTATTGATCTCTTTGGGTTTTGTTTTTTGTGAGATACAGTTGGCTTTTGAAATAACTCTTCTCTTTGAAAATGCTTATCTTKGTTGAAATTAAACAAGTGCACTGGGTACCTATACAGTCTGGAAAGGCAGTCACTTAGCAWACCTTCAGTGTGATGAGTGTTATCAAATACCTGCCTGTTGGGGAAAGGTAATGGTGTTAAGGCTGGCCAAGTTTTCCACTCTCTGAACTGAGTGGTTGACAATTTGTTCCTWAGTGTTTGGCCAACAGATGTAGCAGTACCTCCAAAGGTAAGATACAGTGATAGGATTCCAAACACCTTGTTTATAAAGCTGTGCTTGAAGCGTGGTGTTCGTGTAGTTCAGTTTCTCCTCCTGGGGGAAGCCAGAGGATATAAATAAAGTAGAATGTGGTAAAGCTTGTGAATTTCCAAAGTAATTCCATTTAGAAATAAGGTATATCATTAAGATTAGAAATGAGTATGCTCAAGTGCTAATTTGTGTGGCCGAATGTTTCTGAAGTGCTTTTATATTCTTGGTCCAAAATTACCCAGAGAAAAATCTGAAGTGTAAGGTGAGGAGAGATTTATAGTGGTGTCACAAAAAGAGGGCTACATCATAAACAGCTTCATTCTGGGTGAAATTGTAATGGGCATTAATAGTCTTAGGAGTTCTGTTCGCTGTCATTCAGATTAGTTTGATTAGGTACAAAACTGTGGTGGATTTGGTCCGTTTAATTTAGAAGTAACTCTATTGAAATGAAAATTTCTGTGACTTGGACTGATGTGCATTAAAGTGTCAATCTATACCTACATTCAAAAGTATTTTTTATGTCCCATTTTGCTGTCACATTTCTTTTGTAATTTTCAGTATCTTTTGCACACATTAATAATCTGTAATGGCATTTGACAACTGGAAAAATACTTGCATTCTATTCAATCACAAATAAGCCCTTAGAGAAGGTCATGAACTTCGTGATCAGACAGAGACATGACTTTATTTCGTAACCTTTTTGTCTGATGTGATAATATTTATCCATTGGTTGTTGTGCCTTACTGATGTCTTTAGTTATTGACAGCTGTCCACATTATTGAATGATATCATACAGAGCTCAGGGAAGTTGAGATTCATTGAGGGATGACAAATTTGCAGTAGAAAGTCTTGTTATTGCCCACCTTACTGTGCTGTTCATATAATAGTTGATCAGTTAAAGGCAATTTTCTGAACCAATGATAATTTGTTTTGAACCATTATTTAAATTGTTATCTAACACACTGCAAATTAGAAAATTGGATTTGTTCCTTTTTCAATGCCAGAATTGTACACCAGGATGATGTAGATGACTGTCTCTTCTGTCAAATTTTTTTCTTACTGTCTGCTGAAGAAATGCCTTTTGTGCATTTTGTAGGAGTTATATCAAACAAAGGCAATCAAACTTTGAATAATTCTTTGATTGTGAGAAATCTGGCATAACCAAAATAAAGGAATGCATGAGTTATGGTGGTATAAGAAATGACTGAAGGCTTTCATAAAAAGTACAGGTGGTGATTAATGTACAGATACAATGATAGTAAAACCTTCAGCAGATCATTTGATTCTAGTTTATGGTGCTCTATTCTTTGATTAGTTCTCTGAAGAATTATCAGATTTTTTCCTTCATAAACAAGCTTTTGAAATGTCATCTTGTCAATTTATTCGAAAGGTTTTTCACTGAAGTACTGAATCCTCAGATAACCAGCAGTAAAAAATTTATTCAATTTTAGTTTTATAACTTTTGGGCTTTACCACACGTATTTGAATGTTGAAAGCCATTATGTTAATACCTACAGCTAGTAATTTTGGTGGAGCTTTTCTTTTTTTCTTTACAGCTTCCTTTGCAAATTGTTTTCTTAAACTTGAGTTTTATTATTAAAGGCAAGTGTGCAGTTTATGGGTACCTCTTATCTGCTTGTAATTTAACAGCTTCTGAATGTGACTGGGCAAAAAGCATCTATCAAAAGGAGGAGATGAAGGAAATATATTTCTCATGGTGTTTGATCAGTGAGGCAATAGTTGTAATCAATAATTTTGTCTATAGGAGAAAAAATAATTACTGGATTGAGAATTTCATCTTAAGTCTCCCAGTTTCTCACCCAGGGCAGAGAAATGGCACAGGTTGGATCCCATCTCGCAGCATGGTGATGTGGTGCAGGAATTCTTGGGATGGGGCTGAAGGGTGTTGTGTGCTGGGAGTTTTGGTTAATGGAGGCATTCAGAGAGTCTCTAGCATGTTCACTGTGCACACTTGTGACATTATGCTTATGAACAAAAGCGTAGAAATCACAATAGCAATGATCCCCACCCATTTTTTAATTTGCTGAATTCAAGTTGACAGAAAATCTCCAGACAATGGTGACTTAACCACCTTCCTGGGCAGCTTACTCCAATTCCTACCTACTCTGTCAGTGAAGGTTTTTTTCTAATTTCTAATCTGAACCTCCCCTGGCACAATTTAAGGCCATTTCCACTCATCCTTTCACTTGGGATGTGGCAGAAGAGATTGACCCCTGCCCGGCTGCAGCCTCCTCTGACTGTGAGGTCTCCCCTGAGTCTCCTTTTCTTCAACTGAACATCTCCAGCTCCCTCAGCCACTCCTCACCAGACCCTTTTCCACCTTCATTCCTTTCCTTGGATATGTTTCAGTCCCTCAATGTCATTCCTGAATTGAAGTACCCAGAACTGAACACCAGTGCCCAGCACAGGGTGATGGTCACTGCCTGGACAAAATACTTAATCTGATATATGTCATCTTTTCAGCCTGTGAGATTTCAAACTACCAGAGAAGATGTAAGAGACGCAAATATGTGTCTTGTTGAGAAGTGAAGAGATCAGTTCATTTTCATGTGCACTGAGAAAAATGTGGAAGTTTTTTGATTTAGTAGTAAGTTACTTTGTGTACTAAAATTAAGTTTTCTTATATCGCTTTCACTTGAAGAATTGCTAAAAACAGGGTGCTAGATATAATTTCCAGAGCTCGTGTGAGACTTTTTATAGCATTCATCTACCTGTGTACTGTCATGTTGTAGGCCTAATTTCTAATAAAAATTTGCTGTATAGTATCACTCACAATTTTATTGTATAGGAAGCTTTCTAAACTCTTGAATTATAAATGCTTAGTCTTAAAACTTCTTGGATGCTTGTGATTGAGTATTCTAAATGTAATACTTCTTCAGCTCCATTTCTATTGAAATGCATCTTGGAGAAACTGTATCTTGCATATTTACACAGACTGAAAATTCTTCTTTCCTTTTCATAGGATAAGAAATGGGTTCTCAATCATGAAGATGTCACACTGGGGGAATTACTAGGCAAAGTAAGTAATAAAGTGAGCTAAATGACATTTGAATAAGTATATTGTAATCAGTAGACCATTTCTGTGTACCTTACTACTTAAATTGCTGTAGTATGCAGTTTTTATATAATTTTTTTTTTTACATAAATGCACAAGACAGCTTTATACTTTAAACAGATGTAAATCACACTTAGTAGTAAACATAATAATGGTTCTGCTGGAGCTATTTAACTAACAAACATATTTTTCTTTTTTGGAAGGGTTTTCAGCTAACTAGATTTCTGTAAAGCATGATGTGGCAGTTTTACTTGCCGTAGTCTGCGAAAAATGTTGCAAAACATAAATAAAAACATGTAGAGAAACAGGTACATATTTATGTATTTGTACAGAAAAATTTATATAATGAGATGGCTAAATCAGTATTTTTTAAAACAAATGGTAATTGCTCGTTCATGATTATTTTTATTCATTCACTAATGAATGTTAGGTGATTTCACCATCTTACTTGTATTAAATTATTTCCTGAATAGGTTATAAATTTTTAGTTTACAAATTCTGCTTAGGAGCTACAAGTCTTTAAAACCAGGCAAATTCCTCATATCTTTGGAACCTTTGCACCTGCAAAGGCCATTGTGAGTGCTACTCTGGACACAATGTTCGAGAAGGTTTTCCAAAAACTGAAAAATAAGAATAAATGAGGAGGAGACAAGTCAAAGCAGTAATTGACTTCTTCCTATGATACACACAAAAAATTTATAAGAAGTTCAAGAAATGGGAGAATAAATTACTGTCATAAACTTCTGTTACCTGGGATAAAAGCTCTTTGGCATTGTGTGATGACAAAAAGTGTGACCAGACTGAACTGCATCTGCATAAAAGGAAGATACTGCAGGATCTTCACATTCTTAAACAGGATGGTATAAAGGGAGAAAATAAAGATGTTCCAGGCATAAAAAAGCTTTGACATACTAACTAACAAATATAAATTAGTTTTGATATGTAAAGACAGTTGAAGCAGTTGAAAACCATTCCAGTAAATTGAATTTAATGTGTATTTCATGTTTTTGGCACAAAGCATTTTTATTATTCAGTAAAGGCAACTCAGAATTTTGAAATTATTACAGAAGGATGTTCTTTAAAAAGTATGAATCAGACGACAAACTTTCTTGGAACACAATATAAATCTGTTACGCATCCATCTCAAAAAAGATGTAGTCATATTAAAAAAGATAAGAATGACATGAAAATCAGTGTCTGTATGACAAAACGTGAAATAAACTACATCCATTCATTACAAAAGTGAGAAATCYGAGAGTCTGCAAAACTTCTGGAAAAGGCCTGGAAAGGGGGAGGGAAGAAGAAATCATGAAAGCTTAATTTGTAAAAGATGTGAACTTTAGAAAAGATGATTTTCCATCACCTCAGGAGTGAATTGTTGGTTTGTTTACTGAGTATTCATTCTGTAACACCCCACAAAGTGAAAATTGCATAATAGGAATGTGTTGTACTAAAAATAATGTATTTTATAATAATTAACTATTTTCAATAAAGAAGTAAAGCATTTTCAAGACTTTAAGAAAGCTTAGGGTGGGTTTTCTCTGTTAAATACTTCTTACCAGAAAGGCAGAGGAAAAATGGGCTGGGAGCAGCTGAGCTACTTACCTTGGGCGCCTGATGCCATTTCAGATGTGACCGGTGTTGTGCTGGCCTCTAGAAGGGCTGTCAGAGATCCTAAGCCTTGCTTGCCAGCCACATCTTCTTTGTCTCAGGGTACAGAAAAAAAATCCAGAAATGTGTTTAGTCCTGCATTTCTTCCCTTGTTGCTGGAAGCACATTGCTGTTTTCTGTCCCTTAGTCTCTGCTTTCCCCATTTCTGTCATCTTTCTTTGGCAATATTATATTTGACTGCATGGTGTAAAGAAATCTCCATCACTCAGGGAAGGAAGGAAAACATCTTCAGCTGAATTGTTTGAAGTCACATGCAGCCCCAAATACTAGGACACAGAAGTGTAATATATGTGGAAGTTATTCAGACATAGTTTTAAAATTGAGTTGTGCTTATTCTTTGGGAAGTACAAAGCTTAACTAGAAGTATGAGATCTGTATTTCCTTCTTCTTTTCTTCTCTTGAGGTTTTTTTTTCATTGATATCAGTATTTTGTTTTATACTTCACAATTTCCTTCTTCCTTCAATTTCTATACCAATTAATTTTCCTTTTGCTTTTACTAAATTAGAAATGCATCTGGTGGAGACTATTTTATGGTATTTATTACTTCAGATTCCTTCTGTGAAGGCTAAAAAAAAACCCCAAACTTGCCTTGGGGGTATGTTTTTCATTTCCTAAAATGTCTGATTATAAAAGGACTTTCTAAAGTCTTGTCCAAATGGGAACCCTTAGAGGTTTGCCTTTATAGACCAGTGCTGAACTTCAGTTTTAAAGAACTTCTGGATCACCAGAAACAATACATTTTGCAGTGGGGTTCATTTATGATAAAAATTAATGTTCAGTGTTTTCATTTTTCTTATTTTGTACTTTGTCATTTTTGTATATGTGAGAATGTTTATGTGGTTTTGAAGACTTTTTTTAGTTTCAGAGACCATTTCTTGGTCTCTTGCAGACCACGTTAAAAACTATTCAGAAATACAATAGTGTAAAAAAAATGAGTGCAGGAGCAAGAATAGTAAAATTACTACAGTAAATGTCGCTTGATTTTCAAAGTTGCTAAGATTTTTTGGGAAAATTTTAGTTACTTAATTAATGGTGTTTTTTTCCTCTTTCCAACAAGGTCAAACCAGAAGTCACATGCTGTGTCCAAATAATAGATGTACTGTGTCAGAGTGAACTGATTTTGTTAGGGCAGATACTGGAAGAAAATCTCATTTGGTTTCGTAAACAGATTTCAAAGTTCTGTACCAGTTTCAATAGTTGTCTGCATTATATTTTTCTGGCTGTTTGTTAAGATTTTATTTACTTAGAATGATTTTTTTTCCCCCCGGATTTCAGGGTAATTTTGGTGAGGTGTATAAAGGAACGTTAAAGGATAAAACTCCCGTTGCTGTAAAAACTTGCAAAGAAGATCTTCCTCAGGAACTGAAAATAAAATTTCTGTCAGAAGCCAGGTAGGTTCTCTAAAATCACTTGAAATAAATACTTGTGGAGTTTCTTTTTCAACTTTTATCACTAGATGCATTCACAAAACCTGACCTTCAGAAAAATTTCAAAGAAGCACCAGTCAAATTCTTCCTGCCTTTGTCTCCCTCTTTTCATTCCACAGCCATCACCCTGGTAAGTAAACCTTGGCATTTTTAACATGTGAATGGAGTAACATCTGCACTCGCTGAAACCATCTCTTTGAAGAAGCAAGCTTTCCCTGTAAAATAAAACTTGCTTGTCTTAAATTCTTTCATTTAGAACTTCCAAGATATGCTATCAGGATTGGGATAAAGTGACTAGAAGATGGAAATGTCAGTTTAAGTGTGGATATACAGGCCTAACTYGTGCCTGCCTTACATGCATGGCTAATAGAGGTGATCAAATGTGTCAAGGTTACTTTTTTTTTAGTGGGATATGGACCTCATTTATTAGTTTTCTCTTTTAAGAAGAGTTTGCTCCAGTAGAGAGATTTTATGCTGTGTCGGCCAGCATGTGATTACTTGCTTATTTTTCAAATTACAGTCATGACACATTGTACAAAGAGTCAGCTGATGTGGATAAGTAGGTTCTGAGACCCCAGCGAGATGAGTGTCTTAATGTCTTAATTTTTAAACTAGCTTTCTCCCTGTTGCTATGAATCTTGATATGTTTCAATTTTTGTTCCCTAGTATGTTCCCTAGACTAGTTTGATCAATATTGAAAAGTGAAAGATACTACCTACATTTATAAAATGAAGATCTGCCACCCTATCTATTGAATCATATTAAAAACCTTGTAACTTGGCAACTACAGAGATGTGTCATTTGTTAAAGTAGCTTGGCACTAATGGAAAAAAACTGGCTGAAAAGATGGAATTTAGTTATTTTTCAYTAAATATATATATACCAGATAGGTTTGTATTGTACTCTTTATCCTAGGGAAAAAGGGGAAAAGAGGAGGTGCTTTGAGTCAGCAAATACAGAAAAAACATTTAAGTTACAAGGTCTCTGTAGAATTTTTTCTTGCACTTCATTTCACTTACAAATCATAGCATGCTGCTTTTAGTCTGGAAATGTTCTTACTAAAGCATTGTGTCAAAAGATGCAAATGTTTTCATTTAATGCTCAAAATTGCTGTCCTTACAGTCTTCTAAAACTTACTGTATTAATTAATTTCTCAAAGTGAAATTGGAAGAAGTGTACTTTTGAACAGTGCAGCAGAGAAGTCTAGAGGCATGCTGTGCATACTGTTTTGATGTAGCTCTGCTTCTGGTCCACCACTGAAATGCTGTTTAAATATGAGGGTTTTTAAGAATCTGCAAACTTGTCAGGCAGTTTTTCAGTTATATAGATACATGTCACACAGACAAATGGTAAAATTACAATAACAATAATTTTTGATTTATTAGTGAATCACTATGCCCTCAATTTCAAACAGGGTGGYGATTGATCTGTTACATTGATTTTGTTCATTTGATAACAGTAATGAAATGTTCTTAAATAACATGAAATGTTTWGGATAAATTTCTGTAATATTTAATCAGTTTGTCCAATAAAGTTCATTAATATAATAAACTTACTTTGTGTTTTGCAGAATACTCAAACAATATGATCATCCTAATATTGTAAAACTTATAGGAGTTTGCACACAACGACAACCTATTTATATTGTTATGGAACTTGTTCCAGGTAATTATTTCTTTCCCTTTTTTGCAGCACATTTTTATATGTTTCATTGTTTCCATAATGTAAATGTATTGTTTTCTATTTGTCTTAACTACGTTCTTGTGACAGACTTCAAAAGTCACCTGTGTTGCAAGTCTTTGGAAATATTTGGTTCTACTAGCTTTGGAGTGGTTGAGCTCCACAAATCTGTTGAGATTCTTACTGTAGTCTTCCAACACAACAGAAATTTAATCTTTTTCCCTGACAAGATTTAAATGCTATTTCCTTTAACAATAGTTGGGGAATATTAAGAAGTATTTAAAGAACCTTCATATCTGGGTAATGTTTCAATTTTAGTAACTCATATTTGGATCACATTTAGTAATAGACATTTATTTTTCTTAACCAGAATGTATTGTTTGGTTTTTGGGTTGCTCTTGATTTATTTTTGGAATCAAGTTCATTTTATGCAGCAATGGCTGGAGTGAATTTCAAATTGTTGAGATTATAGCAGCTTTTGGGCAATTTTACCTCTTTGTTGATTTTCTCAGCAGCTGGGAAATGTGTTGGTTTGGTAGCCTGTAGTACTGTTTAACATGCAACACTGTATTTGTTKTATATATCATTGGATATGTCTTCAAAATTATACAGCAAGCTAGTTTAAGAAATGTTTTATTCAGGAAGACTTAGATTGCTTATAATTCTTGAATGCTGGCCATAGTATGAGAGCACTGATGAAATATTTGACCTTGTGGAGTTTTCTGCCTTTATTAAATTAGATTATATTAGATTATTATATTTGTATCCATGATTAACTTTATTAAAATGGAGACTGAAAGCAGTGTATTCATTTTTAATGGGTACGTTAGTAATCATCTTCTCCAGACATCTCTGAAGACAAAAGTAAATCCTGATCTTTCTGGTTATCATTCTGGTTCAGATTTTTCAGAGCCTTGTACAAGTCGTTAAAACATGGTAATGCAATTGAGGAGGAATTAGTGAGAACTTTCRTCTGATTCTTATGCCTACTTTGCAGTCCAAGTCTATAAACATTCTTGGGTTTCTTACAGGAGAATTGTTGCCCTGTTTTCATAGTCTGTAAGCCCTGTGGGGCTGCATGCCCTCAATAAACACAGTACTGCCCTCCAAACTATCACACYTAGCCACATGCTCCTTCACCCTGGCACCCCAAGGGACTGACCAAATCAGCAGGAAACAYAAGGATGCCTTTCTCTGAAGAACATGTCAGAGAAAAGCCAATCACTTAGATCAGTAGAAAAGCATTGATTCTGATGTTACTGTTTTTCTCTTTTCTAATGACAGATTTGGATGAGATTACAAAAAAAGGTAGTTATATATGCTCTGACTTTCCATTTAATGCTGCCCTTTGAGGAATAGCATACTGGTAAACTTGTTTTCCACTCGACACTAAACTTCCTCTGTATCTCATTGATTTTGTCTTAAATGTGTTTATGCTTGAAGGTGTTTAAGCAGTTTAACTTGGACAGTCTGTTTAATAGCTAAAAATGGCAGGTTTCAACTTAGAATTGTATTCTGTGAATGTTTGGCTGAGAACACTTGTAATTTATAAATATCTGACAGGTTTTTTTTTCTCTGAGGATAAAATTAGAAGCATCTCCATAAAACAAGGGATTTCTCCTGTGTTTTCTGACGTTTAATGCTTGTAATTTTTCTGCCATTTTTATATCCCAGATACATGTAGGCTGCACACCAACTGTGTCTTTTGAGACTCCTGTGGTGTGGTTCCATAGCAGCTAATTCTGCTTTGCATTCCAGATTCTGATTTTAATTCAGAGTCCTAATTTATTCAGATATTAAAAATGTATATTGAAACTTATCACTTTATAAAGAGAGGTGCTACTCTGTTAGTGATGCTGTCATAAACTGTCTCTGCAGATATCTTTGTTCCAMGTGTAAGTAGGAATAAAAACTATGCATATGGATAAAGACATTAGTGAAAACAATAAACTGTTTAATCATGGGTCCATCCCTTGTTACATGCAAAAATAGTTCAGATGTTGCCAGCAAATATTGTCAAATCAAGTATCCTTTGAAATAGACCCCTTTTCTAGGGGGGTGGTGTGGGGGGTGTTACCATAAGTGACGCATGTCCTGTATGAGAACCACAGTGATGAAGAAATGTCAAGATGGATCATGTAGGAGGAATGAAATTAGCTGAAATAATAAATAATGTAGCAAATAATGAATACACAGAATCATAGAATGGTTTGGGTTGGGACCTTGAAGATCATCCAGTTCCAACCCCTGTGCTAGGGGCAGGGACACCTGTTGGAACAGCTTGGTCAGAGCTCCTCTCCAGTTGGCCTTGAACACAACTAACTACATATTAATGAGGAAAAAACATTATTTACTTACTATTCACTTGCTGTTGGTCACACTGATCTCACTAGATGTGTCCTCCCAGTGTCAATCCATCATAGATTGCTCTAGTACAGAAGGAAAGACTTGGTCCTTTTCTCAGTCCACCTATCGTGACATGAGGGAAAGGGTTGCAATATAAGGTATATGTATGTTATACAGATTCTGTTTAARGGATGCACATGTAGGAAAATGTATCTGATCTCCCTGCTGTTGGCTGGATTTTCGAGGGCCACATCTCTTCTCTTCTTAATCTTGTCCTACAGGTCTTTCTTGTAGGTTCCTCTACAAGTGGGAAGGAACATTCTGTAAGCAGAATGTGTGCACTGTTTGTTTACTGTATAATTTAGATTTATTATTGGTTTCTAGAAGCTGTTATTTCAATTGTTGAAAAAATAAACTAAGTAAAATATTCTTGGTTGTATATAAACAGAAGCTAAAATGTATGTAGCAGCAATTTCCTTCATGTATATGTGGAAAGCTATGTGTGTGAGAAACATGACATAAAAGCACCAGTCAGGAATTTGCAATGAGAGTTACTAAAAAATACATATATATGTATTTAAATTCTACACAAAATGTCCTGCCTTTCCTCCTCTTGCCTTCCCAAAATTACCAATATAGCCATGGAAAATGAATCAATAAACCATTACTATTTTTCTTATAAAAGTTTCATGTGTTTGTAAGTTGAGATCTATGTACAAATGTGATTTGCAGGCTTAAGTTATGCTAGCTAGCTTCTGTGAAAAAGAAATTCAACCAAGAAGATGGTTTTACAATTTTTGTGATTGCATAATGGATAAATTTGCAATAACCTTTAAAGCACTCTTGCAAATTATTAATTTTATTCTTCTTTACCTTAATGGCATTGGAATACTAACTAAAAGGATAGACAGCCCAGATCCTTACAGGAGTCCAGTACTGTAGCTGTTGTATGGCTTTTCAACTGCCATGTAGTAATAAAAAAAAACCTCTGAATTTTTCTGTGGCATGGTTTTCTTCTATGAAATTTTTAGTAGACTAGGAAATGAGGGAACAACTCTATTTGGAAATTATCTTTGCATTAAAACATTTTGGTAATGGAGAACTTAGAGAGATTTCCTCTTGTTTTACTTGAGACTCTATGACAACGCTTGTTCCTAGTTTGAAAATATTAAGACTGTTAAAAGTACTTCTGCTTAGGTAAATGAGACTGTTGCAACATGTATCTTGAAGAACTCTGAAAATCAGGTTGCTATAAGTTATTTTCTTTGTAATAGTCTTCCTTTTTACTGCTTTATAGCAAAATATTCTTGGAGATGGTTTGATAAGGTTTGTTGCAAAGGTCACATTTGGCAGAAKTTTTTTCTGGTGTCTTCTGATCTAAAAACAGGAGCACCACATTGTTTCGTAACTTAATACAGTAACTTTTTATTCGTCTGTCATGATACACTTTAAGTACTCAGCTTATCCTGAGAAAGGCAGAACTTAAAACATAAATTGCTAATGAATTTTGTGGAATGAAACCCCATATATTGAAACTTGCCAAGTGCTTTGTGTTAATATAGAGCCATGGGTTTGTATTGCCAGATGGACTTGATTGACCTGACTGAAAAGTAATATAGTAAATGTGCAACACGAGTCTTAAAACCATTCAGTGAGAATTGCTGCATATTTACAACCACTGGAATTTTCCTATGTAGATTACTCTTTGTCATGGGTAGTTTTCCACATGAGAAATAGCGAAACTTTGTGTAAGAGGATGGTTTATAGTGATGTGTAAGAAAGACTATAACTTTTCTGTAGTGCCAAGTCAATCTGAGAAATTGAGCATTTTACTCATTAATTTATTCATTTTTCTTTGCTATGTGTATGTTTTCCCAGTGGGATTTTCATGCTTTATCTTGCATTGTTGACCTTAAAACTGAAGAAAGAGCAATAATTATGAGGAGCTGCTTTGGTATTCATGACAGCAAAAGAACTATTTGCCATTGTTTCTTAAGGCCGCACAGGGCATTAGGAGTTTTCATAACAGCTCATTTTTAGCAAATTTATATGATGATCAGAAAGACTGCCTGAAATACTGCCAGAGTCCATATTGACAACCTGAGTCAAATGGATGCTGAATTTTGCTGGGGCATGGAGAAGATTATCAGGAAAACACAGGGGCTGACAGAGCCTGCTGCCTGTTCTTTTCTTTTCAGAGAGAACTCAGCAACTTTTCATGGAAAAAGACAGGAAAAGAAGAAACTAAAATCTCTTTCTATTTTACCCTATCTAACTCTTACCTTTCTGGCCCAAACTTCTCTTTTGGTGATCATGGATCACAAAGTGGGTTTTAATTCATTGCAATACTCAGGATCATTTAACTGCGTTTTCATTTGCTTATAATTTATCGTGCAAGCTACCATGTAATCAAAAAGGAACTGCAGGAGTCCCATTAAAAATTTGAATGTTTCTTCCTCTTCCTTTAGGGGAAGAACAAATCAAGATCAAACGTAATCTGTAAGATGCAAAACCCAGTCCTAAACCACAACATTCTTTCTTCTCCTTCTTTTATGTTCATTTCAATTTACTTGAATTTTAGCTAGTCCTGAAAGGAGGATTTAATTTAGAAGTAAGAACTTAGTGTGTGCATGAAATGT